TGTGTGTGTGTGTGTGTGTGTGTGTGTGTGTGTGTCAGTATATATATATATATATCCATCCATCCATCCATTTTCTGTACACGCTTCTTCCTTTTCAGGGTCGCGTGGGTCACTGGTGCCCATATCCAGCAGTCACAGTGCGAGGGGCAGGGTACATATATATATGACACACATGACTCTTAGTTTTATGTGATGGAAAGGGGCTTCTATTATAAATACGTTAGCAAAAACCTACAATGAAAGGTTCCCAGACTGCTTATAGATTTATTTCTTGAACAAATACATATTTTTTTACATATCACGACATCGGCAATTTTCTCAGCTTTAATTGAAGTCATATTTTATAGAAATCGGATAAGAAATGAGGGTGCTATGAATATTTTTGTGACAGACTGATGCACATTGAAACTCTACTGTTTTGTTGACATTACTCAATGCATAACAATGGCTCCTGTGACGGAGCGTCGCTGGCTATAGCGGCTATAGGTGACGTCCAGTCCAGTAATATAGATCAATGAGTACTTGTACTCACTTTGGAAAAATGTGTTTATGAAAGTACTGTTTTAAAGGCTGGAAACCAACAACACTTTGTATTTTGTCAAGACAAACATGAAGGATTGAGACGCAAATCTAAACTTTTCCCTGTGATTTAGGAGAGGTTCCATCATTTGGAGCAGATTTACTTCAGTATCTGAACAAAGCTAAAATCAAAGCTACAATAAAACCCCTCAGAGTATCATTTATGATATCTGCTGTACCGTCTGAGGTCTTCAGGCCTCCCCCATCCCCCGATGAAGAGCCTGGTGAGGAGCAGTCTTCTGTACAACACATCCAGCCGACTCACACCCATGGACCGGTTCTTGGCATCTGCAGAGAGACAGCTCCACGTTATTGTCCACAATAATCTGCAGGTGCAGCAGATTGTGATGAGATTATTGCTCAGCTGCAGGAGGAGACGGGACGTTTCCACAACAGAAGGAACTATTTTACACGACTCCGTGGATATTTCTAATTAAACTTTCAATCTTCCTGTCTGCCACTGAGCTGGGACTACAAAGACCTTCCTGTGCCTCTGGGCCAGAAGGTCTGGTTCCAGTGGAGCTGACAGGGATCTGTTCTGGTTGATCTGACAGAGTTTACACCTGGCATCGTCATATATTTCTTCTAAAACTCAGCTTCAACTTTAGTTTACACCTCTGTAACGACACATTATGTAATAATGGAATAAAATCAGGCTTCAAAATGTAATAAACCAGCACTAAAACCACATTTTGTAACAACTGACGCAAAATGTAATAAAAGTCTTCAACTCATTTTGTAATACTTGCAGCCGCTTTATGTAATAACATTATTACATTTTGCAGAGATTGTTAAAAAAATGCAGTGAAATGATGAAATAATGTAATACACCACACAAATCTGACCTTTTCATTTATTTAAAGAGGACTTATTATGCAAAATTCACTTTTTAAAGGTTTTTTTTTGCTCAACTTTGGGTATGTACTTCTTAAAAAACAGTCCTAGGACCAAAAAAATGCACCCAGGGGCATATTTACTGTAAGTAAATGTATTTTTAATGTATATTAACGACAAGTTTTATACTTCTGTCATTTTGTGATGTCACAAGCCGTACGATAACCCACCAGAACCTGTGTTCAGCCCCTTACCTAGCAACCCCCAGGTGAGACTCCACCTCCTCAGTATAAAAAGCCGACACGGTTGTTGTTGTGTAATGTGTAGCTCATTTCACAACAAACCTCCAATACGGTAATGGGTAGTGTGTTGGGTTCAAGACCAGCACGGACACAATTTAATTATTTATTTATTTTCGTTTCTTATGAACCTGTTTTCTCATGTACCTCTATTGTTTAGCTTATTAAAACCTTGTTAAAGCCTATTTGTTCGTGTTTCTGAGGGATTTTGACCGCTGCTGCTCCCTGCTCTGGTAACAGCATGCAGAGTGAGCGCAGAGCAGAGGAGGGAGAAAAAAAAAGAAGCTGACCACGACTCTGCCTCTGGGTCTCATATGGTTGTACAACGGAGCTTCTGCTATTATTAGCCATGCTAACGTAAAGGCTGGCTTTGGAGGGCGGAGTTAATGTCAACAGATTTTTGGAGGGCGGAGTTAATGTCAACAGATTTTTGGAGGGCGGAGTT